GATCCCAATGATCTACAAAATTGCATGAATAAAATTTAATTTAATTTGTAATAAATTAATTTTTTATTAATAAAGTTTAAATAAAGTTTAATTTAAATAGGTATAAATGGTATAGTCATCCGAAAGGTTCAGAAAATCCTAAAAAAGCTTTGTTTTCTTTTTTGGTATAATTAATTAAAATGACGCGTCACCTTTATCTTTTGAACTTACAATTCTTTTTTTTTATTACAAAATTATTATTACTAATATTAGTTTTTTTGTTTATTATTTTATTAATAATTATTCTATCGATTGATTCTTCTATTCTATTTGTTTCAGTATTCCATTTGTTTCAGTATTCCTATTTAAACAAACAAAGGAATTCCACAGCTTATAAATTAAACGTGTTTAAATTATTAGTACATTTGTTTGTTAATATTACAAGGATCAGATTGGTTTTCTTGGATAATTAATATACTATGCAGAATATATTAAAAAATAATAAATAAAAAATCCTTAGTCACATAAACGTTGCAATTTATTCATTTTTCATTTGCAAACGCCCATTTTCCTTATCTTATTATATAGAACAGGAAACATTATTTGTATTATGGAATAAAAGTAATTTACTGCGTGTAATCATTATATATAAAAAAATTATTTATTGGTGAAAAAGAAGAATGTATGCACGCATAATATATTTATATTTAGATAAATCAATTAATTATTTATCCGTGGTGCACCTTAACAGTTAATAAAAAATATTTGTATCACAAAATATATATATTAATATTTATCTCACAGAAATCGAATGTTACGTTTCTCAAATAAATTTTATAACGATAATGATAGATTGTTAATAAACAAATACAAACAAAACCAGATTTTTTTCTTGTATGAAATATAATTTATTATTATTGATCACTGTAAAATTATTATTATTATTAATTGGAGAAAATATACCTGGTAAATTCTATATTTTATATTAATACAATAATGTACTTTCGAATAATTAAATTATTAAATAATTCCATATGACTATTGCCAAACTTAAAACTGTTTTTTTTGTTTCAGTGTTTATTATAAAAAAAAAAAAAATTAATTATTAGTTTGAGATTTGTTTATATAAATAAAATTATACATATTTATGGAATTACTCACCCTAATTTGATAACTTCCTGCTTTTGTCATGTATCTTACCCATTTAACACTTTTATAATTACTTTTTTCAAAAACTTTTAAAAATCTTACTAATAAACCTGAAGATGTAAACATCAAAACCTGAAAATCCATTGATATCGGAGGCCTTGACCATACCTTTTTAATTGTTGTGGCTGAAAGTTCTGCCTCACCTGATAATGTTATTTCTTGCTGTCCCTGAAAACGAGGGATTCTTTTATTGTGTAATTATGATTGGATTTAGTTAGCAATTATATAATTAAATCAATAAAATTAAACAACACAACAACAACAACAACAACAACAACAACAACAACAACAACAACAACAACAACAACAACAACGACAACAACGACAACAACGACAACAATCACAAATAATAATAATAACAATAATAACAACAACAACAATAACTACAAATAGTAATGTATTTACCTCCAAAAAATATGATTTTCCGCCGGAACATATTTTGCCTTTCCAGATACAACACGTATATTAATATTCGCAGTGTTTAATGGAGTAGGGATTCTTAACACAACCTCATTTGCATATAGTTTTGATGAAAATGTTGCTTTCACAGTTACTCTATATTCAACACGAGATTTACCAATCTCATTGACAACAGGATGAACACGAAAAGGAAGAATAACGTTTTCTGTAGTACGGTATCTTTTTTTATTATATATAATAATAATTATTATATGCTTTGATTTGTAACTCCAAAATATAGGTCATAAATACCTCATTAATTCAAATTCGCCATCTGGTGGCACAAAAGTTATAGTACGGTCCGAATCAAATTTACCCAATTTAACACATTGATGAAATTGAAAGTCATCAATTTCAACAGCATTCGTTCTTCGTGTACTAAATCAATCAACCAATAATAAAATAAAATAAATAAGTGAAATAGCCAGCATAATTATTTCCTGGTAATGAGGGCAAATATTGTCAAACTGTTAAAATACATCATCATACCTGCTTCTTTGAGAAGAATCTTTATCCAATAATATTTTATCGTTTAAACCAAATTTGCATTCTGGCGTGCCAGAGAGATAAGCTCTCATCATAATTTGACCAGAAACATCTGCTCTCAATATTGTACCTTTAGTACTCATCAAAAGGTTAACTGATTCTATGACATCTATAAACGCCTCATTCTTCCTGTATTTA